TTGTATAGAATTTGTTTGCTCTTAGATTGAGTTTACTAAAAGAATGTTTGAGATAGAATTAACGGTTTATTCCGGTCGGACATTTAATTCAAATTTTAATCCGATTTTTATTTTACTTGACGAGTTGATTTAACTCTTTGATAGGATTATACAATATTTTTATAACCTAAATGTCCACACAATTGCTAGATTAAATACTTCTAAAGAAGGATTAGCCTCTAATTTTGCATACAAAATTCGTTTAAAAAATAAAATTCTGTTTTATTCATTAAATTGTTATTTCAAAAAAAAAAAGTAAAAATAAAAATAAAAATCGAATCTAAAAAAAAGGAAAAAATAAAATAAAAATAATTAAATTAAACTTATTTATTTTGGAAATTAAATTACTTTTTATACTTTTTTAAACCATAATAAAATTTTTGTTACTTATTAATTTTAAAATAGTTAATTTTAATTGATTCGAAAACAATAATAAATATTTTATTAATAAATTGTTCTTATTAGAAATGAATTTATTTTAATAAGTAAAGGAAATTCGAATGGATTATCGGAAAAATTCCAAATATTTCCATCAATCCAATTATCCTTGCAACAGTATAATAAAGAATTGCTCGTGTTTTTTTCCCTGTTTAAATGCATTTACATCGTTTTTTACTTCATAAAATATTAACGAATTTCGATATCATGGAAAAACATCCAACAAAGATATATTTATGTAGTAATTCTTGCTCATAGTGCATAAGTATTGCATGGTAAACATCCTATGAAATTCTGTAACCGTTATATTTAGGTATATATAACTGCTAAAAGCTAAGTGCCAATTGCCAATCTTTCAATTCCCATCATATTTCGGCAGAAATTCCCTTTTTTTTATGTAAGTTCTTTGGTCACAATAATGGCTACATCAAACAGAAAAAAGCCTTGCCTATCCACATTTTTTTTCTGGTTACTTCTTCAATCATATAAATTAATGCATTAAACTTATGGAAAAGTTACACGCCACATAGAAATTTTATCAATTATTAGCAAATATTTTTCTTGCCTTTAATGGGATAATTACGTACAAAAATAATTCTTAGAATAATTGATAAAAAATTTTCCCTCCCAAAAAAATATAATAAGTTATTAACAAATCAAAGTACATCTGTTGACTTGAAACAAAAAAATGTTTATCGAAAATATACTTTAGATGAGATAATGTATCTTGAACTTTGATTAAATTTCTTAATTTATTTCCTTGTTCTGGGTTAAAGGTCGTGGAAAGATTCTAATTCCATAATTTTTTCCCTGAAGATTTATAGATTAAATTGTTTAAATATATGTATTTAATATAAATATATAACCTAAAATATAGTAAATGTGGAACATCTATTCTACATTAATAGAGGGTTCGTATTGATTTACACCAAAATTTCTGTATATATTTAGGAAATGTATCATCATATTCGTGGAAGGAATAGACCATTAAAATTGCTAGACAAATGAGTTAAAATGGTGATTTCAAGGTTAAAATTTAAGTTGTTTACTTCACATTTATCACTGTTTAAACATATAAAGGAGAATTTTGTATCTTAATATTTAACTTATCACCTTGGAAATAATTGATATTAATTTATTTAACGTGTTTATTGAAATAAATTAATAATAAGTAATAAATCAACAAAAAAAATCAAGACTTTTAGATAATTATAAGCTCGAACAAATAAACGAAATCATTATTAAAATATTTGAAATTTATATTTATCTAATCAGATAATTGTATTTTATCAAGTGATAAAAATTAAAATGAAATTAATTTATTAATATAAATTATATTAGTAATAAAAGTAATTAATGATGATAAATGAACGATAACAATACACGAATTTTAAAAACTGATATATTTTCCAATTATATAATAAGGAAAGTAAACATAAAAATCTTTAAATAATTGAATGGTATAATCCAATTTGAAGGTTATTTACAAAGAGTAATTTGTAATAAATTAAGTTCTGGTTGTGGATTTTTCAGGAGAAATGATTGTAAGAGGCAGCAAAGATAAAGAATTTCGCAATGATCATCGAAAGTTCATTGATATTAAAAATTGACAGCATATAGATCAGATTGCCAGAGATTAAACTCGGCTATCTTTTAACAGTAATTGGAAGTGACGAATAATTTATAGAGAAAAACAACCATACGAAGATTAATAAGTTAAAACAGGTGGCGACTGACATAGATTTGCCAGATCACTTACTGTCTTGTTTATTCGCAGTAATCCCTATTTTTTCGACTGATCTTTAAATATATATAGCATGATTCTAAATATAATTTTAAATATAAAATTACCTAACAAAATAGTTTTTTTTTTTTTTTTAAAACAAATTCTAACAAAAAAGGAGAGATAAAACAGCTGACTACTCGGAATTGTTTTCCAGTTTGCATCCTTGTTTACAGGTTAAAACGAGAAAAATTAAACTAATAAGTTATATGTCTACTGTATACAATTTTCAATACAGAAAAATTCTATGAATAATTTTATTGCCAAATTCGAGAAATTTTCTACGAATATAGATGCTTAGATGTGCTATAGAGTAGTAGATAATGTAATTAAAAAATAATTACTTAAATATAATTACAAACGTAAAATTAACCTTATATATAATGCATTTATTAAAATATATGCAAAAGTTTTCGGTTAAATAAACCATTAATGCAGATATTTATGTAAAATTAGAGATGTAAAGCATAATTTCCAATCTAGATATTAAATTCGGTAACAAATATTCGTGATGAATGTGTTCATAACAGTTCAATATTTAGAATTTTAAACATTTCAACTAAATTCTTTAAAATATTTATATTCAAGAATATGCGACATTAAATCATAGAATATATATTTGTTTAATTATATAATACAATAAAAGAACGAATTTATTATACAATATCTAATTTAAATCTAATTTTAATTAAGTAAATATTAATTATTCCTTTATTTTTATAGGGAAAGAATACAAATTTTTTTTCCTCTTTTCACAAGCAAAAAACGGGGTGTTTGACTCTCATACTCCCTTTTTCTAATCTGTTCATAGTGCAAACATTAGAAAAAAACTTAGCAGATTCTCAAATTACAAAGATTTATCAATATTTTACTTAAAAAATTTAATATTTTAAGATTTAAAAAAAATTATATATTATTTATTACGAGAATAATTAAACACATTAATAAAAATCTATTTATTATCTTAAAAGTTGTAGTTTTAAACTATAATACTGATACTTAATTACAATTATAGACTTTAAAACGTAATTTTTTTATAGATATTAAATATTTTTTGTCAATAAAATATGCCTTTCAAACGATAAATTCAATAATAAAATATGACTACATTTTTCTAAAGAATTTTTAAAATTTTATTATACAAACTTTATAAAGATTATATAAATTTATAATTTTTTTTTTTTAAAAAAAGTTTATTAAAAATTTATGATCTTAGAAGCTGTTAATCAATCATTTTTAACTACACGTAAAATTGGGTAATGACCAGAGTAATTTTTATTTGGAGTAAACATCAAGTTTCTTTATGATTAACGATTAAATATTTTAATATTTTATTTTATTTTTTTAGATATAAAAAAATAATAATAAAAAGTAAGTAATGTTATGTATATTGACCTTTCGTGGGGTTTTGTTTCGATCGATGAAAATTATATTCGTCATTTAATTCCAACGGGTGTTTGGCTCGTCATATTCAATTGAAACGACCAAATTTTACTATACAAAGACACGAACTTTACTGTCACAATTTGAAGAAAATAAGAGAAAATATATCAAAATCTCATTGAAATTCTTGCCACAATTGCAAAAATATATGAAAAAAAGATATAAATATATTTTCTGAAATATAAAAAAAAATTTGTATGAAAAATTCTCACGTGAAAACGTTAAACTCCCTCCCCCAAAAGTGTAGAAAAATGTTAAAACTTTTAAAGGAATTTTTGAATTTAATAATTATTAAACAATTCTTACATTCAAGTAAAAATTAACTCTACTATTTTGCTATTATTAAAGCAAAACGGTGCTTAATATTCGAAAAAAATTAACATTTTTAAAAATATTCTAACAATATTTAATTTATAAAATATAAAAGCACAGTATAACATACTCAACATTCATCTATAAATATCATGACTTTATTAAACAAATGATGACTGTGCAACTATTCTCTTCAAACTGACATACGAAACTTTACACAAAGAAACTTTGCATAAATAAAAATAGGAAATTAGAATTTATTACGTTGGAATTTTGCTAAGCGATTTTTATAACTCTTAAGCAATGATACAAAGGCTCCATCATATCGCAATCTCTTTGCATGCGATAGTGCACTTATATACGCGATTGTTACTAGGCAATTACTCATTTAAATAAATAAATATATATATGTATATATGTATATAATTTAGTGTAAATTATAAGTTATATTTTAATTGACATAAATATTATTTTATCTGCAATTTAATATTATTTATATTCAACTCTCGATCCGCATCCTAACCCACTTAATATTTGTCACGTCTACTTACGTAATTATAATGAATTTCTCTAGTGATTTTTCTTTATAATTTACTTATGTATGGCAAAGTTGATTAAGTGTCGATCGAAGTAGGATTTAACGTATCGAATTAATGCAATATTTGCTTAATAAATAGACAAACAACAATTTTATTCACATATCACCTTTCACTGTATCAATTTTTACTATCAATCAAAGTTGATAAATTTTAAAAAATAATATATTAATATATAGGTTAATTTTTTATGTATAATTTATTTATACGTTAAAATTTATTATTTATTTTTTTATATATTCTACTATTATAAATCAATAATGTATTGACACAATTTCTTTATATAAGTAGAAGACATAATTTTTCATAATTTATATATATATATAGATAAGTTAAAGTAGAATTTAATAAGTTTTATGACAGTTAAAAAGTTATAAAGGTGTACTTACCACATTTAACCAAGTTCCTTGTTGTGAAGTCAGTTTTAGCGAGTCCATAAGAGCACCAGATAACACAAATATATCTCACCAAAGGTGAGATAATATATTTACTTTTTATTCTTTATTCAGCAAAGTGGGCAGATGAGTCTTCTCTCCATATTCCCCCCTAACTGTCTGATCGTCACACTACGTTCTCCTAGCAATATAGTTGTGCTGAAGGTGGCAGTGTGCGTGTTTGCGCCGTCCATTCTGCGCACTGACAAATATAGCCGAACAGCTGATGATGTTGAAGGTGCACATCGGTAGATTTCCTTAAGAAAAGTGTGTAGATTCAATTAGATATTGAATGTTTGTACGGTATAGGTAAAAATGTTCATAAATTTTTCTCAATTATTTATTTCTATATAACTACAAAATTAAATCGGGACATTAAAACTATTTATAAAGTATGTATCTGTTATGTAGCAGTCAACGTATCAATTAACAATCGGTTCAAAGGTTAAATTTAAGATAACACTCGCATAGTTTTAGAGCCTTATACAATTTTTTGATCCTAAATTTATCGATTTATTATTTATCGAATCGGTCTAAAAAAGAAGTTATATATATATATATATAAATTAGAAATATTTATATGATTTAAAATATACAATTTGTGGATGTATGCGCTGTTATTTATTGAGCTGCAATTTGAAAAAATTGTAGACATAAATTCCCACTGACTGTCCGTCTGTCTTTCCTTAATCTCGAGAATGGAGTTAGGTAGATAAAAGACGAAACCAGATATCGAGAGATAAAGAGTTAGAAGGCCCAATTAACTGTATACGAACGTCCGGTGCAAACCGGAAGTCACGATATTTCAATTCAAAGTGTTGGATATATGAAAGGCACGACTCTAATGTTAAATGAAAAATATGAAGTACAGGGGCAAGCCACTACTAATTTGAGGTGGAGAGCATATATTTTAAATTAAATAAATTAAAAATATGATTAAAAATTTGCAGCTCAGCGGCATTGTGACCAGTCACAATAAATAATTAATCGATCTTATATGAATTATATCCAAGTCAAAGAACAAAAAATAATTAAGCTTCCTTTAAAATTATTAGGATAAAAAATAATTATTGAGCATTTAATTGTATTGATTGTCGTATATTCTAGATTAATTCTTGAATTTTTTCCTCGTGTTTTAGATAATTAAAATAATAGGAAAAGAAATTCGCGGACGAATTTAATTTCCACGATTTCATTTTTTAAAGTATTATAAGATTACATTTATTAAAGCAGTTGTATAAAAAAAAACAAAATTAATATTGAAAAATGTATAAACATTCGTAGGAGAAATTTACTTAACCATATTTTAGAAGAATTTTAAAAATATTTAGGCCTACATGGATTTAAATATTCGAATAAGATAAAAACAGAGTGCAAGAAATAAAAGAAAGAAATCCTATTATCCGAATAATTAAATTAAACTACATAAGTTAAATATAATTAAATTTTAAACTTTTTCTTATTTTATTTTCTTTTGAGATTTATAATATTTGAAAGATGATTATGAATCAATTTATCGAAATTTTTCAAGCAGATTATTCTTAACGTGGTACAGTAGATGATTCAATAAATCTTCATCACCTTCAAGCTGGTATGGACAACATAAGCTATTGTAAGGTTATACTCTGTGTCTTACACCTGTCACGAGCCTCTTGGAATATAAGGCTGAAGAAAATATTCCACGAGCTTCTTAGACTGATTTCTATTCCACTTCTCCCCTTTATATTAGTTAATTCAACAGTGTAAAATTAAAATTAAATATCTTCAAAAATGTAGCTTGTTAATTACGTTCTTCTTTATACTTGAAAGAAAGTTGTTTTTTTTTTTAATTTTAATTAAAAGTGAAGCAGCAATGTTAAATTAAGTATCAAGAATAAATGATTAATTAAAATGTATATTTATATTTAGTTTATAGTATGATAAAGTTTATATTTTTTAAAGTTAAATATAATACTTTAGCCTAATTATTATTAATTAAAATGAAAAGATAAATATGTAGGTAATGCAAATAAACAAAATATTTGCTTAATGTTAAGAAATTATTTTCGTACAGCCGAAAGTTCAATAATAACTAAATAATCACAAATAATTGTGTATTATTTTCTACATGATAAATGTATAGATGTTAAGGATATTATCAAATTTCAACAATTTACATAAACAATACAAATGTATTGTTTATGTAAAGGTATTGTGTTATAATTTAAGAGTTAGAAATCTTCGAGAATGAGAATCGAATGTATTATATTTTCATACAATACAATACATCAGACAATTCCATAGAGTGCCCTTAAAATCGCTACCTGAGTATCCATAAAAAGGCTCACAGAGGGCCACTGTGTACGTGTTGTTTAGAGGTCTTTGAAACTTAGACATGCATGTATGACGAGTTTATACACATTAAACACAAATAATTTTATTAATACATACAGTCAAGCCTCGACATAGCGTTGTCCTAATTAGTTTCACCTCGTAAAACGCCAACGATTATTGGTAAACGAGATCCTTATAAATGTTAAATGGAAAATTTACGATTTTTTTTGGTTCCAATCCTCATTTGGACACAAAACACGTGATTTTCAAATCCCTAAACTTAAACTTATTACACGAAATTTTTATCTTGAGCTACTTCGATTTAGCACCAATTCAGCGTCAAACACTGGCGCTAAATCGAAATTCGACTATAATTTTATGCATGAAAATGTATTTTGGAGCACATTCTAAAATTATTTATTTGTGTTATTTTACAGCGTTACATTTAAAATTTATATTTTTATATTTATAAATTATTGCTTAAAAGTTAAAAATAAATCACAACATTGAAAGCTTATAATTAAGTAAAGCTTAAGGCAATTTTGAAATTGAATTTAATTAGTATAAAATTTTGCACTAATTACAAAAATATCTTTTATGTTCTCTTTAATTATGGAATGTGTTTATAATATAAATACGAAAATGGTAAGTAATTCAAATATAAATTTAGATTTTTTGAATTTATTATAAATATTAATTAATATATCATCGTTTCATTAAGATAAGATTAATATTCTGGTTAATTAGGTCAAATTTTATCAAAAACATTTAACCCTTTGTAATGAAATCTCACTTGAAAACTCATTGAAAAGTGTTGAAGTATCGATCGATTATTATTAAATGTTTAGATTTTTTCCAGTTTTTAATAAATATTATAATCTTATATGACGTTTCTTTCAAGACGAAAACAAATTTTATTTTTGTCTTTATATATATATTATTTTAAATATTTATATCCAGTGTTATTTAGAATGATAAAATACAAGAAAATAAATCGATATTTTTATAAAAATACTTTTAAAACTTAAATATTTAATGTAAAAATTATTATTAATTAACTTGTATATTTGGGTTTATATGTAAATTCTGTTATAAATAATTCAATAATTTAAATTGCCGTTAGTTTTCCATGAATAAATAAAGATTTTTATGTTATATTATTATCTTTAAATAATATATTTTTGATTTATTCTGAATTATTTATCGTTGAACTTGTACCAAAAGATCAACAAAACATGGAAGATTTTATTTTCTACATAAATTTATAATTAAAAAATAAATAAATAAATAATAAGAAACGGTTATTTTAAGCATAACTATTTATTTAAAATTTAATTTTAGACTTCTTTTAAATGTTTATTCTTATTCTCTTTTAGTATATTTTAAAAGCAATAGAAGAAGAGCGAGATCAAAAAACGAAATGGAAAGAGATCAATTGAGAAAAAATGATGTGAGAAAGGAATATTCTGAAGAAATAAAATCGCCGTAAAAAGATAAAAAGAAATGTTATCAAAATCTGCTGACCAACAGTTTTTTGAAAAATTGAAGAAGTTATTAAGAATTTCTACTAGTGAACAATAAAATAATACACTAGAGTCTACTTTATAATACAGTTGATAATTTAAGTTTATAAGTGATTTTTGTGGCAAAGTTTTATAAATAATTTGAGTGCAATTTGAAAAATTTGTAGACATAAGTTCCTATTATCGTCCGTCTGTCCGTCCGTCTGTCCTTCCATAATCTCGAGAATGGAGTTAGATAGCTAAAAGTCAAGACCAGATATGGAAAGTTTAGGAATTGGAAGACCCAATTAACTGTATACGAACATCCGGTGTAAATTGGATGTCAGGTTATTTCAATTCAAAACTTTCTCTACAACAGAGTTAAATAGATGACCGACACGACTCTATCGTTAAAGGAAAAGTATGATATACTGGGGAAAGCCATTACTAATTTGAGATGGAGAGCATATATTTTAAATTAAATAAATTGAAGCTCGGCATTGTGACAATGTCACAATAAATAATTGTTCGTTGATAATAGTTTAAATTTTTTTTATGATAAATTGCTTATAAAATTTTTTTATAAATAAATACTTTGTAGTAAATAGAATTTTATAAAAACACGAATGTGTTGAATAATATTTAATGGTGTTCAAAACGTTTTATAAAATAAAAATAAAAAAAAATAATAAGTTTTATAAAATTTATAAAAATATCGAGTTAAATTTTAAAAGAAAAATTACATTTGGGCACGTTTGAAAGTTTATATAGAAAAATAAATATTTGAAATGAGTTTTTATTAAGTGAAAGTGGTTTTTCCATCTTAGAAAGATTTCGATTTGGTTGAAAGAAAAATCTGTCGAAATGACTGTTTGAGTTACCAGCAAAGTTATCATAAGGATGTAAAATATTCTTCATTTTTTAACGCAATTGAAGAAGAAGAAGGCGCCTTAAAGACGTAATTCTAACTTCCATTTCCTTGTCTGAAGTCATGAAGAATGTCATGCTAACAACCATTCTCTTATAGATTCGTTGGAGAAATGCAATGGGACAGTTGGCAAGTGGAGCGTAAAAACGTCTTTCTTGTCATAATGGCTTTCTTGGTTTGAAATTACAACTGCAAGTCAACTATTTTTTTATTGTTTCCAACAAAAAAAAATATATATTATTACTGTAGTAATTTCCATTCATTAAAATCGTTAATATACCTTACAAGATAAAAGAACCTTTTAACTTGATTCATTAAGATTTCGCTTGTAAATTTCTAATCAGTAATTGAGTTAGGAAATTATATATCAGAGTCTTTCCAAAACAAATTTTTTGTGTTGATTTTAGGAACAGAATCTTTACAATTAATTCAATTTGAAGTTATAAATTTAAGTGCTCTTGCCAAACATGCATCTTAGAATTTATAATATCCCTAGGCTAAATATTTTTTTTCA